ATTTTTTTAATTGACGTTTCTATATTACTTATTTTGGAATAATTGATGTACATCATCTGCATCACTTATAAACAAACAGTAAAAATCGTAAAAATATTGGCCAACTTCATAGACTAGATTATTTAAAGATTTATTTTTAACCACTCTTGAAATTTCACAGAAAGAACCTTATAATATTAGAGAATTTATGAACTTATACCCAGAAATTAAACTGACAGCTTCTTTTTGGTTAAATAATCACAGACAGCAAATTTTGTACAAATTTTACTTATAAAATTTGGATGCATTAATCATTTGACTTTATATTAAAAAAATTTACCACATGATCTGCATGACAAATCGTGTGTCTGATAGTATATTTAATGAAGTCACCATTTCAATAAATTCACATGACCTCCTCGCTTCGAAGTGGCCAATTAAATTGCAGGTAATTTTATATGTGATTCTATTGGCTGATTCGAAGTGCATAGGTCACGTGAACTTTATGAAATGGCCAAATCTCCTCCAATTGGGCTTCATAGTAGTTCATGTAACATGACATGAACAAAGCCATGTGATGGGTCACTTTTACCCGGGTCAGAATAGAAATTCCCTTAATTTTGATTGGCTAATTAGCAAATAAAACAGACAACATATAAAATGATCGACAAAATTTTCGTGTACAGTACGTACAGTACGTATAGTACTGTACGCGGCACATCACTAGCTATGTTATTGATGAAAACCTCGAAGAAGCTAAGAAATTTTTAAGAAAGCCACTGATTATGGTATTGCAGATGCTTAATTAAATTATGTATTTACCTTAATTAAAGATATAAAGGATCTGAAAAAAAACAAAAGGAATTTTTAAAATATTTGAAATTATCAGCCGATCAAGGAAATGAGAAAGCAGAGTATCATTTAGGTAAATTATATTTAAAGGGAAGTATTGTAGAAGCTGATCAAGAAATTGGATTAAGTTATTTAATGCTGGCAGCTTTGAATGACCATGTAAAAGCTCGAGAATTTTTAAATAGAAAAAACATTGATATTTAATTTTTTCTTTACGATATTATAAATTCTATCTACCATAAAACCACAAAATAACCCATATCTGTGTGCTATTTTGAGTACTTGCGTTTTATTTTGGGCACACTCATGTGCGTTATTTTGAGATAGTCAATTTTTTTAAGTTTGATTATTTTTTATATTATAAATCCGCAAATCTGCAGACATGTTACATGAGTGCGTTATTTCAAGTAAACATGAAGGTGAAATTACCCTTCTTAATAAAAGTTTTTGTTAAAATTGTTGAAATTATTTGGTTAAAAAAAATAAAAAAAAATAAAAAAAATAAAAAAAAATAAAAAAAATAAAAAAAAAAAAAAAAAAAAAAAAAAAAAAAAAAAAAAAAAAAAAAAAAAAAAAAAAAAAAAAAAAAA